AGATATCGTCTTGCAGTGTGTACAATATATTGATGGCCAAAGAAAGCCAAATTTTCTGCGGGAGGGTATCAGTTACAGAAGCACCGCCACCAGCACAGAGGTTGATCAGACCCAAAGCCCCCTGTTCAGAGACAACTCGGCCTCGTCTCTACCCGAACGGGCCGGGAAGCCGCAGCACACCTACCTGAACAAGCTCTCTCTTTGACACAGTTGGACATTTTATTTTTTTTCCACAAAGGCTGCTGCTCAATATGCCAATATCTTACATCAGTCCTGGACAGAAATATTCCGAAATATATATATATATATTTTAACATATTATCAGCACAGGGAGCGTCAAAGGCCTAGCAAAGGAACTCTCATATTGGGCAGTGAAAACAGCCACATCACTTCTCCATGTGCAAAACCTGTAACCTCTAACAGCTTCTCCCTCCACACACAGTAAAATACTACCCACAGAGCAATAATTACCTGCACGAGAGTATTTAAAGGAACTTTAAGAGTGCAACATCACTGTTTGCCTCTAAAAACTTTCCTTGGTTTACATATTACACGTTTACTATTGTAAGTGATAATAATAAAATTAAAATAACCAATATTTTGAGCAAAATCCTCCCCTCACCCCTTCCATGCCGAGTGCTGGCAGCGAGTGCTGCTGCGAGCTCCGCCAGGGCCACGCGCAGCGACTGGCGAGTGACTTCATGACTCACCCGTGTGGTGCTGCCAGCGCTGTCAGTGTGGGGAGCTTCAGCCCTCACCCGTGTGGTGCTGCCAGCGCTGTCAGTGTGGGGAGCTTCAGCCCTCACCCGTGTGGTGCTGCCAGCGCTGTCAGTGTGGGGAGCTTCAGCCCTCACCCGTGTGGTGCTGCCAGCGCTGTCAGTGTGGGGAGCTTCAGCCCTCACCCGTGTGGTGCTGCCAGCGCTGTCAGTGTGGGGAGCTTCAGCCCTCACCCGTGTGGTGCTGCCAGCGCTGTCAGTGTGGGGAGCTTCAGCCCTCACCCGTGTGGTGCTGCCAGCGCTGTCAGTGTGGGGAGCTTCAGCCCTCACCCGTGTGGTGCTGCCAGCGCTGTCAGTGTGGGGAGCTTCAGCCCTCACCCGTGTGGTGCTGCCAGCGCTGTCAGTGTGGGGAGCTTCAGCCCTCACCCGTGTGGTGCTGCCAGCGCTGTCAGTGTGGGGAGCTTCAGCCCTCACCCGTGTGGTGCTGCCAGCGCTGTCAGTGTGGGGAGCTTCAGCCCTCACCCGTGTGGTGCTGCCAGCGCTGTCAGTGTGGGGAGCTTCAGCCCTCACCTGTGTGGTGCTGCCAGCCCCAGCGGTGCGGGGAGCTTCAGCCCTCAGCCATGCGGTGGTTCTTCCATCCTCACCCCTGTGGTGATGCTACCAAACCTTCAGGGTAGTGATGCTTCGGTCCTCACTGAGGTGGTGCTCCCAACTCCACCAACATGGTGGTGCTTCTGTCCTCACACACGTGGTGGTGCTACCAAACGCACCGCCTTGGTGCTGCTTCAGCCCTTGCTGATGCAGTGACACTCCCAACCGAGCCAGCACAGTGGTGCTTCTGTCCTCACCCATGTGGTGGTGCTGCAAACCCCACCAGCATGGTGGTGCTTCAGTCCTTGCTGATGCAGTGCTACTCAGACCCCCACCAGTGCAGTGGCCTCACTGATGTGGTGCTCTGTACCCTGATCCCCAACAACACATCCTCACCAACGTGGTGGTGCTCCAGTCCTCCCTGACGTGGTGCTGCTCTGCTCCCCACCAACATGGTGCCGCTCCAGTGATGTGCTGGTACTTGGGCCACCACCACCATAGCGCTCCAGCCTGGCCTTGTCCTTCTGCGGCACACAGTCATGGCCAGAGATTGTCACCCTGAAGCACTCCTGCTTTATGGTGGCACTTCATGATAATATCCCTGATTAGAAGAAACACTTAAACACGCACTTCAGCTCCGGGGCCTCAAGGTTACCAGGAATGTGTTTGGTTTCTCACAACTGGAGCTCAAACACTTGAAGGGGTAATAACCCTTCCCGCTGCTGACTGGATTGCTCAAAACACCATGAAACCACTTCCAGATTAATGCTAAATCTTTCAAAGATCTTAAAACAAGGAAAAACTCAGAAGCGATCAGCTCCTGGGCTTGATATAGGCTCTACTCCAAAATCAAATCAAATTTTAGCTTAAAATTGGAAAGGGTCACTTCGTCGTTCAGGAATGTCTGTTGGGAATGTGAATTTCCAGGCTGATTTCATTACGTGCCGTGCAAAGAAAATAGATGCCAGGTAGCAGGAAGCAGACAGAGCTTTCATTCACAGATTGATTGATTTGTGGGAGGACTGTATTTCATATTTCATAAAGACAGATAAGATACTCCAACATTTTAGTATACTTGCATTCATAGAGTGGCTTTTTACCATGAAATTTAATTTTTGCTGCCATCTGGTCATGCAATAAGGATGTTTCTTCTACTCATTATTTTTGATATTTTATACACGTGTAGATTTTTATGAGATATCGCTGTGGATAAGTCAAAGCCGATACTAATAATTTTGCAAAGGAAAAAACATTGTAACATTTTAAGCTATGCCCAAAAATAATGCACCAATACAGATAAACAAAGTAGAAATGAATATTGTCCTATGTAGTAAAGCATGGAAATATAAACATGTGGAATGCTAATACACTTTCTAAAATGATATCAAATAAGAATTTCAGACATGAATTACTCTCATTATATTACCAGTATTTCTTTCACTGTTTACACTGGAATTATATGTTTGACTCAGGTAAAATATAAGGCAGATGTTTTGCACAATGGTTTTCCTGAAAGCACCATCAACAAGCAAGACACACTTCAGATTTTAATCTGGAGATTAAAATGTTACCAATCCATAGCACTACTTTATGTTTTTAATATCGAAAGTATCAGACAGATATTCACTAATTAATGTTCCTTATATGGAAATTGCAAAGATTATATTAATCTTTGCAAGGTATGTAATTATCCTCCTTCTATACATAGAGAATTAAAACACAGAAATTACCAAGTGAGAATTTTAGGTCTCAGTAATTATTAGCACTGTATTTTCCCTTTAAAATTTCCATCCTTCTATGAAGATCGGAATGACCGAGTAATTCTCTTTCCTTCTACCTCTCTCCTCAGCTGCTGTTTCAGCAGAGATCCCCACAAGCGTGGGTGCAGACTACAGCTGTTTATAAAATTAGAAAGGCATGGTATTATTTAAGCTGAGAGGCCCTTCAAACCATGTTTATACAGCAGCCGAGTGGAGAGTTTTGCATGCTCAGCACTTCCGAAAACTAAGTGCTACACAATTTTTCGCCTATCTGGCATTTTTAGAGAAAATGAATGGAGGAATCAACACGTTCTCATTTAGCTATAGATCTTTGATTGGTCTGTACTTAAGCTAATAAGCATAATTATTTATTTGGTATAAATACAACATTCTTCACTGAGGATTGTTTTTGCAGCTCATGGGAGAAATCTTGAAATGCTGTGAAAGAAATAACTCAGTTGCAGAAATAATTTTTGAACAGCACCCAAAACATTGTGTTTGACATAAGCTTTTTTTTTTATGTGTGTGAATGCAGCAAAAGCTTTTGAAAACCTGTAGCATAAAGTAATCCCTAGAGAAATAAAAAGGAACAGGCAGGTATCAGAAGATTCAGGGACACAAACATAGAGAGTATGAAAACATACGATTACCTGGGGCCTCCAACCTCTCAAAAGGTTGTTCTATGCACATCCTAATGGTATCAAATAAATTCTGTATAGAGCACAAAAATTAGGGCTTCCTTACTCTTTCAAAGCGTTCAGCTCCACTATTCTTGACTCACATGTACTCAGCAAAACACACAGGGCGTTTCTGGTTTGACAGCCGTGTTACAAGAAGCCATTCCCACCAATCTTCTTTTCCTGAACTTCTTGCTGATTTCATTGGGAGTTTTGTACGTGGGATATATCCAGGCACAGGCTGCAGCTGCAGCTACCCGTAATCTCTGGTTGTAGAAGCTGTTCCCCTCACCCCTAGACTGCTGAGTAAGGTTTAGGAGACAAAGAACAGCAGGGAGAGATAGCAGCACAGGGCCGGAGGGGAGATTTCAATGGAAGAAAGGAAAGGCAGGAGGAAGGAAACGAAGGAAGGAAGAAAAGATAAATCAAAAGTTTCTGTGAAGTAAGGAAAAGTGCAAATAGGAGACTAGTCAAAGGCAGGAAAAAAAGGATACAGCATTTAGATTAAGTGTTTAACCAAAGTGATGGTAAAAGTAGCTGTTAGTTTGCAAACAGGAAGAAATTTGGTCTATTGCGAGAGCAGTGAAACACAAGGGTAGAGACCAAATACATGGTCTGGGAAGAGCAGTGTGGTCTTGAGGACACAGCTGGGATTGTGGATTGAACCACAGCCTGTCGTCACCTTTGGGAAAATACCTGTTTGCAGTGGTAGAAGAGGTAATTCAGCTTTGTTCTTTACATTTGCATGTGTCAATGTAACTACAAACCAGAGTCAGGGCTGGGTCAACTGCAATGATAGTAACACAGAAAAAAAAATCACTGTTCAAAGTGCCAGTCTTCACTTCCATTCATAAACTTTGCCTATAGTGTAAATACAGAAGCGACAGGATAAGCTCAGCCCATTGATTTGAATGGAGCTAGGCTGACATCTTGCGTCTAGCTGCTAAAATTACAAAACTGGGTTTTCTCGGCTTCATTTGTTAAATTTCTCAAGATTTCATCTTAATCTGAAAAATATTGCAATATGAGATAGGGTCTAAATGTATTGTGCTAATTGCAGTAATTGTTCTGACCTTTTAATTATTTTCTTATACATTTTTATAGTACATTTAGGTCATTTGCTTGGAAACACTGAACTAAAACAAACGCGGTGTGCACACACTGCCAAAGAACTGTTCTGCTTGCTCCAAGAAAGCGCGTTTTAACCTCAAAACAGCATCCCCAGCAAACTCCTCGTTTTGCCTTTGCAGCCTTGCTATCTGTTGCTTTGGATGTCATCGAATTGGCTCAAGTGCTGAAAAACCAGCGATGCTTTACACAGTTTTGCATTAGCCTGAATCGTCCTCCACAGAAAGCAACGGCCAAGCCCACAGGGCGAGACCGGCTCCCTCACGGCGGAGCCAGGGTGAGCGGCAAGCGGGTTACGAGGCTCAGAAGTCACGCTAAGACGTTAAGTGGAGTCAAGAGACACGTCAGGACCCTGGATCACCTCAGCGAGGCGCCCCTGGGCCGGGCCCTCTCCCGGGAGCTGCCGTCGGGGGAGCCCCTCGCTGCCTGTGCTGAATCGCGGC